AAGAGCCGCTCGAAAGTACAACGGGTTGCCCCAACGGTCTGTCCATAATGAACAGTTGGCTGCCCGGATAAGGTGTTCGAGATTCGTTCTTATCTTAATAACTAGGATTATTTGGAATCTTGATACATTCACACCGAATATTATCATTTAGGCCTTCGGAATCGGAGTCGATGTACCTTCTAAGATCTATTTAGGCCCTTGGTTCTTTTAGCCGCTCAAATAACACTTAGGCTACGTTTATTTTGAGGGATTTACTGAGGTATTTGAAATCCATAGATTTCAAAATTACAAGTTCAAATGTTCATGCATGTTGGGATGATAATGGAAGTTGGAGGATTTCAAATTCATGCTACATGTTTTTTAGTCATTATTTTGAAGGATTTGAAATGACTCCTCAAACCTAGTCATTTGAAATCTATTGTTGACGACCACGCCGTCCGCGATCAATTAGATTCATCACCACCGCGAGTCAACACCATTGGTGCGAGGTAGACAATTTATTTATAATATTTTCAACACATCCATTCAAGGAGTGTGCAAGTAAACAAATTTATATTTCAAAAATTTTGAAATCAAGGGATTTCAAATCCCTCGAAACAAACGGAGCCTTATAGTATTTAGGTCGTTTGACTTGATATTTTGGTCGGGTTTTAGGGCTTAGGTCGTTTGGGTCGACTAACATTTCGTTGAACTGACCTGGCGGCCCAGTTGAGTCGGCTTGGTCGAGCTGTGCTCATCGACCTGCCCTTCTATCTATATCAATATTTATATTTTGTTGCTAATTATACAAACGAATATATTTAACATCATGTTGAACTATATATGAGCACCACTGAATTGAATTTCCATATGTGTCCAAAATATGAAAATTCGTCATATTCACTGAAGATTTTTCTCCACATAAACAAAGATATGAATTACGTTGTTTAGCTATAAGTTAAGTCAAATCCCTTGATTTACCTTTAGAAACGTACATCTCAAGCTACTTAATTTTTGCAGCAGCAGAATCAAATTTGAAGTGCTTTTATTCATCGTGTGTATTTAGGATTATTTAGTATTATTATTACTGGGCATCTCTATCACTGGATCTATCAGTCATGATTTTAAGGGACAAATTCACTTATAATAATAGGAAACCAACTAAATTACCTGTTTTAACCTTTAAATGAGGTAAAAATATCAAAAGAATGGGCTTACCAGGAAGCTGCCACCATCTTCTAGCGCCATATTCCATTTCAAATCTTTCATTATTTAGTATACAAATACTCAAATAGAAAGATGGAAAATAACTATGCATAAATATATATGATATTTAAGTTAATTCAATTAATCTATTGGATTAAATAATAAACTAATATTCGACCTTGTGCATTTGCACAGATGTAAATAAAATTAAATATTATAAGTTATATTTATGTATATAATATAAAAATTATAAGTTATATAATTGTATTATATTTCAAACATATAGTATTATAAGTTATATTTATGTATATAATATTAAAATTATAAATAATATAATAGTATTATATTTTAAAATTTGATCATTGGTTAAAATAAATAGTACACACGATTTGATTGTATACGAATCCCTATATTGATTGCATAAAATGCAATAAATATATACGTTTTATAATTTTGAGCGATCATGACCAATTAATTAGCTGAAAAATATTACATTTATTATAACAACTGCTTATGTGATTTTAAGAAATTTTACTATGACATAAAAAATTAATTTATTAATAAACAACATCTTCATCATATAAAAAATATTGATTTTAGTGTAGAATATAATTTTATGTAACTTTCATATATTATTTAGTATAAAATATAATTACTAATTTTAATATTAACTATTATATTATTCAATAAAAAATATAATTATTAATCAATTAACATAAAATATAATAGTTTTTTGTCTTAATTAACTCAAAAAATGTAATGAAATATTTTCTTATTAATGAGATTGGGTGTATTAATGCTACATAAATAAAATTTATTAGGTTCTATTTATTAGGTTTTATTAATGATTTGCCACATAGGTAAAATTTATTAGGTAAAATTTATTGCTTAGCTAGCAATTATATATATATATTCAGTTCTGTTTGAGACAGTGGCGGATCCACATTAATTAAGTGGGGTCACAAGACCTCAACAAAATTGTCTCCAACCTATATTAGTTAAGTAGTCCAAAAGAGTAAAATTACTCTAGGCCCAAAATTATGTCCCCAACTCAAACAGAAAACAATTCAACCTACAACTAACAACCCAAAATAATAAACTTAAAAGAAAACAAAAATATTTAGAGGCCCATTAATAATACAAAAAAAAAAATTAGAAAAAGATGCATATATATATTTAGCAGTAGCCAGCAGCGTCAATCGGTCAATATATACATATATTAAACAAAAGAGTATATATATAAGATATATAGAAGTGCGCTCAAATGAGAAAGGGACACATTGAAAGAAATGAGAATGAATCTGAACCATTGAATACATCATATTAATGGATATAATGAAGTCAAACTTTAATGAAGAATGGTCAATTATTAATAGTAATATGGTAAATAAATATACACATGATGGTCAAATATACATAGTTGACCACATAATAAGGGTAAAATAGGCATTACACAAAATTACAACTCATCACCACTCATAGTGGGCCCCACCCAATACCACCCACGTGATATCTATCCCCAACCCCAACAATCCCACCTGCACCAGCTTTTTCCATCTCTCACGCACAAACACACACTTAAATTCACACGCACACACAGACGGTGAAGACGCACACACACCACCACTCACGGCTACGGCTCCGCCGGACACGGCTATACACCACCAGTTTCCACAGCCGCCATCATCGCCTATCCCATACGCGTCGGAGATCGGTCAGCTGCCGGAACTACCTCAACTGACGTCGCCGGCGTCAGCCGCTACACCGTCCGCCATCATCTTATAATCGACCGTCGATACCGCCAGTACCTCCGCCCACATCCGCCATTCTATCGTTGCACTCACAACACACACTCACACACCGGTGTTTGTCCGTGCGCGGCCGTCGTCGGAACTCGACTGGCCACAGACGACGAAGCAGGACACCGTCGGCATGGATTCCGGCTGGACCGTGTACGCGCGCGGCCATGGAAGTCGCAACCGGTGACGTCGTCTGAAGATTGTTGCAGGAGATTTGCATTATTGGTGTTTGTGATTTGTTTTGATTAGGGGGGTTTTCTTTGGAGAATTTGATATAATTAAGGGATCTAATTGCAATTTTTTTAACTTTTAATTTATTCCAATTTAGTATGGGAGGCTAATTGATGATTTAAGAAAAGTTATAGGGATTTAATGACAATTTTAGAAATTATATTTAATTACAATTTAGTTTATGGGTAAAATTAAAATTTAACAAAAAAATAATAAATGCACAATATAGTGTGTGCAAATGCACATTAAGATTTTAAATAAATTGCATAATATTCCATATTGTTCATCGATCGGTTCGATTGAATCGACTGATTAAAATATTAGAATCGAAATAAGTGACTCGAACCTTTGAAAAAAAAATGAACGATCGAATTTTTAAACGTGTATTCGGTTGCTAATGTCATTTTAAAAATATAAAATAAAAAAAATACTTAATAACATTATATTAAACATATATTCCATTACTGTATATTCCATTGTTGTTGAAATTTTGAAAAATTCAACCAATATAAATACAATATTTTTAATCGGTTGGCGTCGATATTTTGACATATTTGAATGTTTAATTAATATTTTATATTATTTTTTATTATTATTGTTATTATTATTATTATTATTATTATTATTGTTATTATTATTATTATTATTATTATTGCACAAATAACCATATTTTTTAAATGTAAAACAAATAATCTAACTAAAATATACAAATTCAAAAAAATAAAAAATAAAAAAATCGGTCAGTCGTTGTCGCGCATATGGACATTCATTAATATGCAGTTCATATAACCATAGTGTGCATGATTTCGGTTGTTGTAGTGCAGTGTGATTTGATCGAACTTTTGTTCTAAACTGAATTGAATTAATTAGATTATTCGGTTGTTTAACCGAAATAACCAAAATAAATAAAATAAAATATAATTTATATTATAAAAATATATTTATTGTTTTTAATATATATATATTTTATATTTTATATTTTTTTGGTGAAATTAATAATTTTTTATATTAAAACATAAATTTGATATCGAACCTACATAATTTAATTAAAGGTAATAACAAATAATCAAATTGAAATAACTGAAATCTTAAAAGTAAAACCATATATTGTACTGACATATAACCACCTGGACCGATTGATGACTTTTGATCGCTACTGTGTAATTTGTCAGTCATTAATGTGCAATTTGTCTAACACTAGTGTGCATTGTGTCGATTACTATTGTGCAGTCTGAACGGACTAATTCGTGTCTAAATCCAAATTAAATCTGAACCGAAATATGATTAATGTGCATATCCATATAAATTAATGTGCATTTATTAATATTTCTAATAAATTAATAAAATTTTAATAAATTACAAATTCAACCCATGAACTAAATTGCAATATAGTTAAAATTTCAAAATTGAAACTAAGTCCCTTAATCTTATCAAATTTTCAAAATAAAGTCCCCTAACCCAAAACACCATACGTGACCGGCCCAGCTGCACAGCCACCGCCCTTGCCGTCGGTGATCTACCCCCCTGTGCTGAGACCTTCGAAGACCTCGCCGATTGACCGTGTTTTGTGTTCGTCGATTCAGTGTTCATAGACCTCCGAACGGAGAATTTGTATGTGGCGGCGACAGATTGGAGAATAGAGAGGCGTCGAGGAAGGAGCGCAGACGTCGGTGGCGGGCCCGTCGAGGTGGTGGCAACAGAGGGGGTTGCAGCGAGCTAGGCGAATTTCGGATTCGATTTCCGACTCGCAAGGCCGGCACATGCGGGGGTGGAGATAGTATTCCGGTCGGCGATGTGGCAGATGGCGGCGACTGAACGGCGGATGACGGCGACTGGACAGCGGATGGCGGCGGTGGGAGTGGCGGAGGTGGCATTTTGGGGCTTTGGGGAGAGGAAATTCAGATGGAGAGAAACTGAGAAAGGGGACGGGTTGGTGGTGTAGTGGGTCCCACAATTTGGTTTGTGTGTGTGGGTGGGGCGGGCACATACAATTAGGATTTGTGGATGAGTATGTGTAAAATGTCCGTATTATACACTTAATGAAGTATAACTTTAGCTTTTATGTTAATCGTTGGATGATTAAATTTAATTGGTATTCTTATTTTTTTCACTGAGCACTTTTTTTACCATTCTGTCAATATATGTATACGTATATATGTATACATATATTAAAAAAAAAAGAAAAAGAAAAAGATACATCAAATCTGCAAGCGAGGCCACGACACGATGTTAATTATATAATGCTCCATTATGTAATCATCTTGGATCCGCCGTTGGTTTGAGAGGTACGTGCGGTTCTTGAATTTGGTTTGGTTTATCACAAAAAACGATCATCCAAGTATAAATGAAGTATTGCGATTACTTAAATATTGTGAGTGTAAGTAATTAATTGGACTTATCTTTTAAAAATATGGTTGAGATCATTCGAATAATTTGTGGTAGTTAACCCAAGTTTTTTTATTGTTCCTTGATGATTTTGTTGTTAGGTAAATAAAATATATTTTTTAAAAAAACTATTTATTTATTAATACCATTTATGTATGTTTATTTGTTATATGATAATTTTTATAGTCCTAAAAGCAGTGTTTAGTATATTGTATAGTGCCTGTGGTAATATTGGATACTATGATTGGTCCGATACAATTACATATAAAATATCGGATTATACCAAGATCATAATGTAAATACCGGTCCAATAATATTTATTTAAAAAAATAAAAATTAATAACTCCAAAACTTAAATTTTAAATTGGTGGTTGGAATTCTTTATTTTTATCTCATGGAGCAGTTGAAATTTAATAAATATGATCATTTAATTTTTTATTTTAATTTTTTACTTTTTTTATATATTTGGGAGTATATTTTTTTAATAATTATATTTATCATTATAGTTTCTGACTGGTGATACCATCGATACAATCAATACGGCCGTATGACCACCGGTAAGGTATTTAAAACACTGCCTAAAACCTTATAGGAAAAAGATGAAGTAATATATAATAGATCTAGATACCTACCATGCATTAAAATGATTATAACCTAGCTATAAATAAGAATGTGCTTTAAGGACTCAACGTTTTCTATGAAGATTGAAATGATACATGACAAAGATATTTTGAAGATATTGTCAGATATGGAGAATCCCGCCCATAATAATAAAACACGGTCATAAATGTGTTTTGGGAACTTATGACAATGGGTGATTTCTGTACGATGTAAGAGTCATATTGAAGCAAACACATTCTTTAGGAAGATGACGTAGTGAAAGCGTAACGAATTGAAAGGAATAAAACAAGATAATAGTCATATTGAAGCAAACACATTCTTTAGGAAGATGACGTTGAAACCGTAACGAAATGAATAAAACAAGAGAAAAACTCTCAAATATTTTTATTAATAAAATTCAATCCATTGAAATACAAGATACTAGACGTCTTTAAGTAGAACTCCTAAAATATCATAATTTTGTCTAACAAGTAAAGAATAATTAAATATCGACTTTGCTACCAAATAAAAAATTAAAATAATTAAATAACTTTACTAATAGATATAGGACTAATGTACTAACAATAAATAAAAGAAATAAATAATTAAATTAAAGATCTGAAAGATCATGTTTGTCCTCATCTTCATCATTTTCCCCCTCTCAAAAATAATTTGCCCTCGAATCCGACGCAATCTTGTCTTCATTTGCTCCACAATCCCGACAGGATCAATTTTATGGGCCGATAACATGGTATACTCCTGAGCAGAAAATCGAGCCTTCTTTGATGTTTTTGTTGTCAACTTCTCCTTAGCAAACGCACTGACCCACATGCCAGCCAATGCCCCTCCACGTCCTAAAGGTTTTATATTAGTTTGACCATTATTGTTATCGCGTGGCACTTAGGAGACTTAGTCTTTATTTCCACAGAAATAATTAACAACTGCAAGGGGTAGCTTAAAGAGATATTGGACAAATTCATAATTCCAAAGGATTGATGGGTCCTTAGGGAGGCTTCATTGTAGAAGGCTTCATTGCAGTTGCCCCTCCTCAAGCAAGCTCTGCAACACCCGATGGATTTGCCTTCGCCCTCGGCGGGCCTTCCAACAGCTTCATCGCCGTTCCTTCTTTGGTCTGAAGCACGTCTCCATCTCCTCCTTCAACCACTCCATCTACCTCACCGACCTCGTATACCCCGTCGTCATAAAAAAGAGGCGGACCCTCATGCTCGGTCGACCTCTCGGCATAAAAAATAGGCGGACCTGAATATTCGATTGACCCCTTGTCATCCAAGAACTCAACAGCTTGGAGAATTTCTATGATATGGACCCGGAAAGAAGCCTCACATCACTGGTCGTCGGCGAATTAGTCCTCGTCATGTGCCGCCGTATTACCAAAAAGACGTACCTCGGATATGGTGACGTCAACGCCACCGCCACCGACAAACGACTGAGGCGATCGGGAGAAGGACGCCTCGCGTCCACCATTCATTTCCCCGCGGTAGCCACGTCCTCTGTCTGGCGCACGATTTGTTTTCTTGCTATAAAAAGCGGTACATAGATCCAATCGGATGTCCTCGACCACCGTGGTCATATCCTCTCTTCGGCGCCCCAACGCCTCGATCATGGCGTCACACCTGTCGTCTTGGCATCGTTCCATCTGGGCAGCATCGCGTAGTAATCATATTGGTCTGTTGATACTAACTGACTTAACGAAATGGATAAAATAAGAGAAATATTCTCAAATATCTTTATTTGTCAAATTCTACCCACTGAAACACAAGAGAATAGGAATCTTTAAATAGAAATCTTGTCTAATAAGTAAAAGATAATTAAATATATTTCCTACTAAATAAAATACTAGAATAATTAAATTATTTTACAAACAAATATAGGATTAAAACACTAACAATAAATAAAAAGAATAAATAACTAAATTAAAAAGTCCAAAAATCA